CGGCCTCGGAGAAAGTGGACGGCTTCACCCGGAAATCGGTGCGCAAGGCGCTGAGGCAGAAGCGCTCTCAGGGCTCGTCGCAGTTCCGCAGCCAGGGCTGCCCCGTGGAGCTGCAGCCCCTGCCCCAACTCAAAGGTAAGTTTGCCGGCGGCGCCCGCAGAGCCATTTCCTTCTGGGGCGCTCGCTGCCCAGCTGGGGCGGGCGGTGCCAGGCGCGTTCCCCGCGGTGCCTCGGCACCCCTCCCCCTCCGGTTCCAACAGGTTTGCTGTGCGGAGTTGCTTGTTTTTCTGCCCCGATTCCCCTTCACTCTTCCCACCTGAGAGGAGCGGGCTGACCCGCACCTGCGCGCTCGCTCACCTGCCCTCGCTATGGGAGCCCGCCCAGTGCGTCCGGCGAGGGGCTCTTCCCTCTCCCCGAGGCTGGCCTTTCCCCGTCTGGCTTTAGACAACCTGTCTGCCCTCCCGACCTTCACTCTCCCGGCACCCACCACCTCTTTTCGGACAGGAGCTCGTCCTTTACTTCTCCATTTATAAGCGTCTCTACGTACCCACCCTCGCCTAATTCCCTCCCATTGATTGTTCCGAAGAGCCTGACGGACCCGGAATCCTAAATGGAAACAAAAGTTACCTGGCCTTTCGATACATTGAGAACGAAAAAGCCTAAAATATCTGAGCGGTACAGTGTCTTATTAACGGGGTCGCTAGGTTCCGGTGTTATCTTTTGGCCCAAAGACGGGAAAGACAACATACTTTGAGACGTTGTACGCGGTAAATGTGGAGACGGATAAAGGAGTGAGTTGAGTGTTGCTTTGCAAGGGAATGGGAACTTAGTTCGCTGAGCAACTACTGGGACGTGGTCGGTTTGCACAGTAACTCAAATTGGTGTCCCGCGCCTGATGCCTTGCAGGAGAACTTGGCTCACTTACTTTTCCCATTTAAGTTTAGAGGATTTTTAATAAATTGTTTCCCGGTGTTCTCGTTTAATCTGTGTGAATTAATGTCTTCGTTTTTAAGAGATCGCAATCATCAATAGAACAAGATGATAATGCTCCTAGTTAAAACAGTTTTTCGACGACAGAAACCTGATAGAAATCTAGATCATCTGTTTTGCAAGGCCAGGAAATTAAAGGTTTATACCAAAATAGATAAATGTTCAGCAGATTTTTCAATCCATTTATCCTCTTCAAGGCCATTCTGGTTCTGATTTTTCTTTGGGCCTATGAATCCAGCCTTCGTTTGGCGATGAGTCTAAAGAAAACCCCAGATCAAATCACAGTTGACCTACATACAATAGCTCTGGAACCCCATTCAGACCGTACATGGCCCTGCTTCTAAGTCAAGAGCATCCCATAGCCAGAATCAAACTGGCTTTTAAAAGAAGGTTTTATTTAAGATATATGTAGCCTGTGCTGCTGCATTTATAACTTGCTTTTTAGCATACAAAATTTAAAATTTATATATTGTAGTCAATTGATAAACCACAAGGTAGGCATTACTAAGACCTCAATTCTTGAGTGATGTCATAGCTATAAAAGAATATCATCTTACCTATTATGGATTGCTATTCATGGATTTTAAATCTTAAACTTAATTACAAAATCATAGTTTTATATTACTGATTTCTTCATTAAATTGTTGAATTGTTTTTACAGTTTGAAGGTTTAGTGCTAGTGTTTTCCTTTCATATATACATAATTTGCTTTTTAGTAAGGTATTGCAGTTCTTCAGTATTCTTACTAGTATAATATTTACTTTTACTTAATATAAATAATTGAGTGTTAAACATGGTTCAAGCCATGAGATGCAGCATTAATACATTTTGTTTTTTAAGTGGCAAAAATATGCAGTCAGTCATCTAAGTTATATGGTATGTAGTTCAAGAAGTTGAAGGTGCCGTTGAATGTTTTATTTATAGTATTTTGGTCACAGCTAGAGGAAAAAAAGAGGAGTGGAACCTTAGATTATTTCTATATATTTTGCAAGAAAATGTAATTTATGCAAATTTGATTGAGGGAAATTAAGATCCTTACTTGGATTACCTCTAATAGGAAAAACTACTTTTACTCCAGATGCCAAAATGCTTGAAAAGTGATTTAAAAAAAAATTCAATTGCTTCACTTGGTACTTTGGCAGTGTACTTGATACCACAGCGTTCTGTGCTTTTTCTGTCAGTAGTTTTTCCATTTGTGGCCTTAACAAAAACCAGTGGAAAGACCTTCAGTATGTGTATGAAAGAGAATTTTTCTTCAGCTCTGAAATATTAGCTTATTGTGGAGTGATTCAGATATCTCTAGGCATCCACGATTTTTTTAGTGCTTTTACCTGCTTGTGTTAACACTTTGTCCACATGGATCTAAACTGGAAAAGTGCCTGCTATTTTCCTCAAAGCTTACTAAGGGTAAGAATTAACAAAATAAGACAGCTTTTTCATCTTTAAGAAGTTTATTTTTGCAAAATCATTTAGTAAGTGGGTTGCAAGATTTTAATGTTGAAAATGTTCAGAGTAAATTTTCTGTTTTGCTATAGAAAGTATTTAATAGCCCAACCGGCATGGCTCAGTGGTTGAGCATCGACCTATGAAACAGGAGGTCATGGTTCGATTCCCTGTCAGGGCACGTGCCCAGGTTGCGGGCTTGATCCCCAGGTGGTTGCGAGCAGGAGACTGCCAATCAATGATTCTTTCTCTCATTGATGTCTGTCTGTCTGTCTGTCTCTCTCTCTCTCCCTCCCTCCCTCTCACTTCCTCTCTGAAATCAATAAAAAAAAATTTTTAAATATTTAATAAGCTTTGTTAAAATAATTTTTTAAAAATGAGAAACTGTTATTATGAGGGTCCTGAAAATTAAACTGTCTCAAATTGTATAACAAAAATTTTTTTTCAAAACACTTTTTAAGTTTCTTGTTATGTTAATTTTATAAGCAGCTCAGAACAAGGTACTAGAAAACAAAAGTAGGAGCATCTTATCAATTTTTTCTGTATTTAAATTCATGGTAGTATAGGACTTTTTTTCTACCTTAAACTTCTGGTAACCAACAGTTAGGAAACTTTTAACTTCAAAAATATGTTATTCACAATGGGAAGTTTTTCAGTCTGTTTAACTTTTTTTTTTTTAGAGAAAATGGCTTGTTTATTTTTTAATTTTTTATTTATTTCTTGTTAATCCTCACCTGAGGATATTTTCCCATTGATTTTTAGAGTGGAAGGCAGGGGAAGAGACTGAAACATCAATGTGAGAGACACACATCGATTGGTTACCTTCTGCATGCACCCCCTAACCAGGGCCAGGGATCAAGCCTGCAACCTTGGTACATGCCCTTGATCAGAATTGAACCCAGGACCCTTTAGTCCACAGGCCAATGCTCTATCCACTGAGCCAAACTGGCTAGAGCTGTTTAACTATTTTTTTAAAAATATATTTTATTGATTTTTTACAGAGAGGAAGGGAGAGAGAGAGTTAGAAACATCCATGAGAGAGAGAGACATCGATCAGCTGCCTTCTGCACACCTCCCACTGGGGATGTGCCTGCAACCCAGGCACATGCCCCTGACCGGAATCGAACCTGGGACCCTTCAGTCTGCAGGCCGACGCTCTATCCACTGAGCCAAACCGGTTTCGGCTGTTTAACTATTTTTAAGTCTGAAGGTTTGGTTTGATAAAATAGTAGATGTCTTACATTTATAAAATATGTAGCATTTACAAATTATTTTACACTTTCTAAAAAATTATAACTCATAACAAGTGAAACAGTCCCAAGGTGTGTAACTCTTCATATCTGTTATGCCTTGCTTTTTCACACCTACTGTTGTATGACAAGGCACAAGCTCAATGTCTTTTTATAAACATTATATTTCATTGGGTCATCCCAGTAACTCTGTGTAAGACCAATGTTATTCCCATTTTACCCATGAGAAAATTGAGTTTTAAATAGCTTAGTTTCAGGCCTGTGATTATTTGGATGGTGTTGCAACTAACACTGGTACCCAGGTCAAATGATTTCACTATTTTTGCTGTTAATCTATATGAAAATTTGAAGCAGTATGATAGAACGAGTTGGGTCAATGCGGTCAGTTCTGAGTCACAGGCAGATTTTTAATCTGAGTTGTTTTCCTTATCCGTAAAATGGGGATAATACCTTCAGTCTCCAGGATTATGGGGATTAACTGAAATAATGTAATTAAAGTGCCTAAAAATAGGCAGTCAAAGAATGTTAGCTTCCATTTGCTTTAATATTTGAAAATCCAGATTAAAAATATTTTTTAAAACGAAGCGTTCACATAAATTGTAAACTTTCCTAGTGTACTTAACGTATGCTTTCATTTGTAATCAGTTTTAGGTACAATTTATGCGAAGTTGTAACATTTTCCAACATAAGTGTGGAAGTGGAAGTAGGGTAGAGTTAGACTCTTTAAAATATTGAATGCTGTAGTTAGAAGTTTTTACCAAGCAAAGAAATTGAGTTAACCAGTAGAAGTATATAGAAGTATAAGTGCATTTCTCATAGGAGACAGTAAATAAAGAACTGAAATGAAGCTGGTTTTGAGATTGCAGTCTCCTTCAGATGAGGTGAAGAACTTCCAAATCACTCAGATTATTGTTGGTATATTCTTAGAAACTGGTCCCACTGGAATTATGGAGGCCAGTAACAGTGGTGTTGATTTGAAGCACCTTGCTTATCTTTACGGGAAAAACATTTTTTTTCCCCTGAGTTATGCGATCTTTTAGGGTAACAGGAACAAGAACACTGACATGATCTGAAGTTTCGTAACTATCTTAACTTTTTTGTCAGGAGAAAACAGTACTAAGTCAACATTTAAGGTTTGTAGATCTTCTCAAAGTTAATAATCATTTCATCGAAGCTCCAAATCCCTTTTTGTAATCAAATGGCACTAAACAAGAATTGAAATTCATCAGAATATGTTAAAAAGGTTTGTTTACAAAGGGATATAACATTTTAGAACTATTTCCTGGAAGTAATGGCATATTTCTTCTGGAAGATTTATTTTGTAATTTTTAAAAACTTTTTCGGGCCAAAACCGGTTTGGCTCAGTGGATAGAACGTCAGCCTGTGGACTGAGGGGTCCCGGGTTCGATTCCGGTCAGGGGCATGTATCTTGGTTGCGGGCGCACCCCCAGT